TGGATTGGAAATTTCGTTGACAATTAAATGAATAAGTAACCGTGGACATGGCTTGCGGCACTGTTAGTAATGAATGTAGCGCATCACAAAATAATGCCGTTGTTGATAGAGGTAGAGTGTGGTAAAACAATTTGAAAAAAAAAGAAGTCGGCAGAGACTTGCCTGCCACTGAACCTTCGATGACTTGGTGAGGAAAGTGGGTCGCTGTGTAGAGACGACTCACTCCAACAACAATTGTGCATATGATGAGTAGGGCGTACAGCGTAGCACCGAGTCTGCACAAAAGAGGTGGATTTATCACGTATGTCTTAGACAAGAAACTCGTAGTGAAGAAGGCTCTCACTTTTTGCGTCTGTGTTTAATGTAAAGAATCAGCGGCAACCATCCCGCAACAAAGACCATACAATGACCAGAAGGGCTCCCCGGACCAGTTTCACAGGTAATGTCAAATTGTTTTAGCGTCAAATTGGCACTTTTGTGTGATTTAGCCCACCAAAATGGACGTTCACCACAAATTGCCCTGTTTTCAAAGCGAGCAATCATTAATGCAGTCAACTAGTTACAGATTAGCTGCCACCTTAAAGGCATCCCCCTCCTAAAAGCGGGGAGGAGAAAGGAAACGTACCACTTCAATGCACAATTAAGCCACTCGGAAAAATTTATCGACAAAAGAGTGACAGAGCCGAGAATGGGATGGAGGAAGAAAGCCAGAGGAAAAGCAAGGAGGTTTACCACAGGTGGAGCACTCAAATGGCTGGCAAGAAGAAACACTACAGGTGACAACTGCTTAACCCTGATCGCAACCCCTTGTTCATTGTAACGCTCTTTTTCTTTTGACAAGAAAGTGCATCAGTGCTCATTGGGGCATTCGTCCACCCACTTTGCCATTCATTTACTCACCCACATCCACTTCAGCGCGCTGGTATAAACATTTTTTTGTCACTTGGCATTAGCCTGCGATGGGTTAGGGCTAGGGTTAGGGATGCAATCCATCCAACTGAAAAGACGGTCTTCTTATAGTGAAAGGCACTGATCAAGAGATGAGGGTTTGCGGTTGTAAACGGACCTCGAAAATGTTGAGACAAACAGCTGCGTCTGTTGAGGAAGCAACTGTGTGATCTGTGACTGGCGTTCCAATTGCAGTTCTGCCTCTTGATGAGCAGGGGAATGAGCGCTTGTTTCCTCTGTAATCTGTGGTAATCAACAGCATAAATTGTTTTCCATGGCGCCTCTGTCACACCCGAATTGATTGGAGCCACTTAAAGGCAGACGAAAGGTGCGAGTGGGTGTCAGATGATTCGCTTCTTGACTGGCTGAACAGATCCACCCATCTGAATTCCTTACGCCAGCAGTCATCGCAGTCAGAGTGGAGCACATAGGAGGCACCACCCAAAATTCATAAGACATCGCAATGTGACAACAGAATGGTCACATGCATTCAAAAGATAGCACATATAATTTAAAGAGTGAGAAAATTTGCCTGTTGATATAATGCCAACCTGTAGCAATTCCACAAACAATAGACGAAAGTGATTCGTAGGGAAGTCATTGCCTAGCTCTTTGAAACGTAGCGCACTTTGTTACTAAACCCAAAAACTCGAAAACAGGTGCAGTTTTAAAGGTCGCATGGAGAGGATTCGAAATAAATGCAGAACCACGCCCGTT